ACAACAACTAAGACAGTCACACACACAGCAAACACACACACACAACAACAACTAAGACAGTCACACACACAGCAAATACAGTCACACACACAGCAAACACAGTCACACACACACACACAACTAAGACAGTCACACACACACAGCAAACCCAGTTACACACAGCTTTTGTTCTAGAGGGCATGACACACTCCAGGCCTATTCTCCTCCTTACAGGTCAAGAGAGAACATTTATCTGCCCTTCATCAAACTCTCTGAATAAAATAAATCCTGATTTTTCACACCGGATGAGCCTAGAGCAAACCTTCTGAGGAGGTCGATGTTGGCCCGGCACTGCTGAGGGGTGAACACAGAACACAAACAAAACCTTTCCCTGGAAACATGGTCCAGTTTTCAAGTGTCACTGATGTAACACCCCGTCCCCTCTGCCTCGGGCACCCTGTCTAGGGCAGCTTTCACTGCCCCAGCTGCCTCTGAGGGCATGGGGCTCCTTACACTTGGGCTCAGCCTCCGGGATTGCAGCCTGGAGCCGTGGGTGCCCAAAGCCCTGGAGCCAACATGGTCAGGTGGACCCAGAGACGCTGGGCGCTCATCCTCACCTGAGAGGAGTGTCGTTACCCTGTGAGAGCCAGGGATAACGGGTGTGCGACATGGCACGGGTCCATCCAGTGAGCCAACCAGCTCAGGCAGTGAGCGCATCACCGACGTCAGAAGGGAAAGGTGGGCACGCCATGTCTCATCCGGGATGGTAGTGGGCACCGCCCCAACTCCCAAGGCCCCTGAGTGTGGGCGTTTCGCACACGAGCTGGCCACCGCCACACACTGGGGTCACTCGGTGGCAGTCCTCCCACCCAGCTCTCTCCCACCCACAAAATGCTCTGAGGACTCAGCCATTCCCGCCAGGAGGACAGCTTGGTGGGGAGGGCCTTCACTGTGCAGGTCCGGGGAGCTGAGTTCCAGGCCCTGGAAGCCCTGGAAACAAAGTCCCCTGACATGGCAACATACCCACCTCCTGTGCAAAAGACTCCGCTTTCTTGCGAAGGTCCTTCTCGAGTTCCAGGTTCTCCTGCAGCTCCTCGTACTCCTCAGCGGCCAGCATGGACACTGAAACAAAGAGCAGAGACAAGGGCTGTGCACCTCACAGTAGCTCGTGTGCAGCCGATTCCTCACAAGGCATGTGGGTGCCTTCGCCTGTCCTGGCTGGTGCAACGCTGACCTGATGCGGCAGTCTGGTAACGTGAACAGAAAATCTAAAACCATTCACACCCTAGTCTCAGCTGCCAGTGCGCACCCTGAAAGAGCAAATCAGGACAACAGACAGAGACTTGGTTGCCAGCATGCTCTTGGTGCCACTGGGGGAAACTCCTCGGGATCGGCGAATCAGCACGAGAAAGGCTGCGCTTCGGTAAAATCCCACTGTGCGGGTCTACGGAAAGACATGTTTTCAGATTCACACACTGTGAAAGTCAGTGAAAAGGAATACATTTCTGGCCTTTGGGTTTTCTTTAATGTGTGGAGTGTGTTGTCTGTGTGTTTGTTTTTGTGCCACAGGCGTTGCCGGGGGTCCACTGAGGTCAGAAGGTGTCGGGTCCCCTGGGACTGGAGCTTTGGGTGGTTGTGAGCCACCATGAGGGCACTGGGAACTGAGAACTGGGAATTGCCAGAGAACAAGGTGCTTCTGGACACTGAGTCATCTCCCCAGCTCCCTCAGGTCTGTCTTTTAAAGACACAGACAAAAGGCACATCACGGGAATTTCACAGGGCAGGGCACGCATGACAGGCCAACAGCTACATGCAAGATGACAGTCAGGGCTACCCGGTGAGGACCCCCGAAAGTCAGGCACCCAAGAATTGCTGTAGGAAAGGTCCTGCCGGAGAAAAGCCCAGGCGCCACTGCTGCTGACACGCTGCGGCCTGCTTTGTTAATAACGGTGAGCACGGGACGCAGGAGCCAGCCGCACTGGAGGCGGCCCGATGCAGGCCTCGCCACTGAAGAGCTGAGTCACGTCAATAAACTCCCACTGGGACGCTCCTAATGGCTGCTTTCACGCCCTGTTCCAGTGGGCACTTCAGTCCTAACTGACTAAGGACGGGTTTGCTGGGTAATGACATAGAATTTCAAACTCTGCTCTTCATAACTACGGCCTCCTCACACACAAGCAGAATAGTCTAACTCAAGCAAAGTAGTGTAAGTGGCGGTTTGTGCTGGGAATTACAGGTCCCCGAGGACTGAGCGGCTTTCAGAGCTATTTAAAAAAAGAAATTCACGACAAGAACAATGAGGACATGAGTATCTGGAGCCCTGGGCAGGCTGGCAGGCTGCCTTTCTCTCTCCAGAACACTATAATAAAAAGTGAGTTTTTCCATGTCTAGGCCCCTTGCACTTGGATTCTGAAAGGAGCCGCCCTGGTCCTGGCGGGTTCACGTATCCCCACTTTCGAGACAGGGGACTTCCTGAAGAACCCACACACGGTCCACACAGCACACGCAGAGGGCCATGTACATGTCGAGGTGGGACCTGAGGAAAAGCCTCATCTGTCTCCCAGCTCGTCTTCCAGGCCTGTCCCTTCCACACGCCAGCCCTAAGCAAGCAGAGGCTGAGGCCTCCACAGGGACAGCTGCAGCCCCGGGCCCCAGCCTCTGAATGAGGACACTGAGCGGCTGGGAACCTGTTAACCCTGCTGTGCTCCAGGGTGTCAGTGTGAAGAAGTGCAGGGGCCTTCAGAGAGTGGCTTCCGGCCAGCCACCAGGCCTGTGCCCCGGAAGGGGTAAAGCTGATCTCATGAAGAATGAAAGAGCAGAGCAGCCCCTCTCTCATCATGGGACCCCTCCTTCTCTCATCATGTGACTTCTGTCATCGCTGTGGTGGTCCATCAAGGCCTTCCAAAGCCAAGCAGACAATGATGTCATACTCCTGGTGGCAGCTGAAGCCAGAAACCTATGTTTATTTTGCAGTGCCCAGCCTTGGGTGGCTGACCATAGCAACAGAGGATGCACTGTACGGTCCTTTCCCCCAGCACACTCATGTGGAGACTCCGGTCTTGCTCCCTGCACTAAACTGTAAGCGCCCCACGACACTCTCACCCCGACACTCAGGCCATGTTCAGCAGTAAGGGCGACATGCTGGCCAAACGACATGGCATGTTCTTGTGTGTCGGGTCCCTTTCTCTTCACTAGATCTGGAAGGGCGTAGAGCACCAGAGCAGAGGCGCTTGGCACGCCTGACTTCTTAACAACAGAGTTCCCGTATGCCCGCCTGGTAGGCTGGAACGCACGGTGTGGACAAGACCGAGAAGTCACGGGACCCACTGCCCCCACTGAGGGGGTGGACAGTGCAGGCTGCCACACTCGGCCGGTGTGCCAGCTGGGCTTAGGAAGCGCTCTCTCTCTCTCTCTCTCTCTCTTAGATTCAGATCCAAGCATGTAAGTGCCAAAGGGGCAAAAGTGGTCCCACAAAACATGGAGGGCAGAAGTGTAAATGTTTCAAGTTTCAAAATAAATTCGTTCCACGTCCCTGCAGGGAAATGCTTTGACCTAATCTTTTAGTGTGAACTGTGCAGTGTGCACACTTGAAGTGTGACTACTGTGCCCACATTTGTGTGTGTACACGGGAAGGTGAGGTCACCTTCGGGCATCCTCTCTCTTGCTGCTGCCTTCCTGTCTCCCCGGCTCTCTGTGGATTGTACTTATTTATTTTGGGGGCGAGGTCTCTCACAGAATTTGAACCATTGTCCAGCAAGGCTGCCGGACAAGAAGCTTCAGAGTTTCCTGTTCTCCGCTCCCCTAGTTAGGATCTCAGAGCGGATCTCAGGGACACTCACATTCCCTCTGTGTGCGTGAGTGTAACGGGCTCTCACTGTGCAGCCCTGGCTAGACAGACACTCACTGTGTAGACGGGGCTGGTCTAACATCACAGGTGCTGGGATACTGTGTGCCACCAGGCCGGGGTAGAAATCCTTTCAAATTCCTCAGTGGCGAAAGAAACAGACATAACTGCTAGCAGAACACACCCTCGGGAAGAGACCACCTCTGGACACACGCAGGGACAAGTGGCCCAGACATGCAGGCAAGGGCGCGTGAGAGCACGGGGCTGCAGGCGCTCACCTCTGCTGCACTTCTGTAAGACTCTTCTCTGCTCCAGAACTTCCGTGTTTAAAGCGGCTTTTTCTTGCTTAACTTTATTGACCTACAAGCGTAAAACATGGAGGAGAAAGAAACGCACAGATGAGACCTAAAGTAACCCAAGACCCCCCACCGGGACCCCCACCGGCGCTCCTACGGAACTCTGAGCTGCCCCGGGCCTTCAGGCGGAGCCCAGATCGCTCACATGTTCCCACTGACAGGGACCCTCCCCACACAGAGAACTCTAGCCGTTCAGGGTCTGCTTGTGCTTTGATGCAAAAGTCCAAGTTGTGCAGAGCACACCTATCAAGAAGCAGGGCAGCCAGCACTCAGCTCCGGCTCCAGCCTGGACGTCCATCTTATGTTAAAAGCAGGAAGAGAATAGGAAAGAGTCCCATACTACAGGTCCTTAACCACGCACAGCTACCCGATCCAGGTGGGTAACTGGCAAATGCATTTCGCTGAATTTTAAAACACAGTTGCGGTTATGGAGCCTGAAGACTTTCCAAACGCCCTGTGCTGCTCCAGGCGTGTAAGGACACACACGGGAACGATAAAGACCAGGTCAGAACAGCAGCTGCCGGGGAGCTGGGCGTGGAAGGAGGCAAGGCAGGGCAGTCCCCACGCTTCCCGGGTCTGTGTTGGCTGGGTGTGGCCCCAGCGGAGGTCTGCATGCTCACCCTTCCTGCTTGATTCCCTGCTGGCCATCTGAAACAACCCCTGACCGGGTTCCAGCACCACCTCTAAGAGGCGGGGCACACAAGCACACCCTTCCCCTCTCCTGCTGTTTCCTGAAGAAGCAAAGTGCAAGAACGGATCTGACACAGCCCGGGACCCACCAGCCTCCCGATTCCCATCAGAGACATCTCGTTCTTTGCCTTGGATCACATTAGTAAGCTATGAACAAAATCCAGCAGCGACCCCTTCCCCCAAGGCTGCCCCCTCGTGTTATGTTGTCTGAGACAGGAGTCACCCGTGTTACAGCCTCATATCAGCCCAGGAGGGAGCTGCCCTGAGTGTGAGCGGCTGAGCTAGGGCTGTGTGCTCACGTCTGTACTTCTGAGTGACTGGAATGGGGCAGTAAGCCAAAGTTGACACACAGTGCTAATATCAAAAGTCGGTTTATAACAGCAAATGTATGACCCAGCCAACCTCACACCAGCCTTCGAGGTGTGGCCTTCCAGGCCTGAGACACCCACCTCCTCCATCACCTCCATGAGCGTGCTCTTGACACTTTCCAGCTCAATGGCCAACACCTTCTTCTCTTCCTGAACAGACACAATTTGATCCCGTAGCTCTGCAATATAAAAGGAATCAAAATAAACTTTATTTTACTTTTTAATTAGCAAACAAAACAACAGGTTTTCTCACAGCATTTCCATCCTTTCTTTCTGGTTGGTTCTCCAACCCCTCACTCCAACCCCACTTGAACTCTTCGTCCCCAGGGTCCCCTGAGCCTACTTTAAAACCTCATTCCCCTCACGGACCTCTTTGTAATTTTATGCCTGTCTACTTACAACCATTTCTCTACAAACACACAAAGATAACATGAGACGCTAGGATCTGCAAATGAGACAGAATACGTGGCATTTGCCTTCCCAAGCCTTGGTTACTTCACTTAAAGGGATATTTCCAGTTCCATTCCTTTTCCTACAAGTTCCATAACTTCCTTTTCCCTTCTGCTGTTGTGTGCACACGTTCAGGCATGTGACTGCACGTATACATGTGGAAGTCAGATACAACTTTGGTTCAGCACAGCTGACCCGAGGACACAGGCCAGCCAGCCCTCAAGCTTCTGGTTCAGCTGTCTCTCACTGCAGGAGGGCTGGGATTGTGGACTCAGGCTCCCTGGCCATCTCGACATCTCCAGGGTCCTTACCCTGCACAGCAAGCACTTTACCAAGAGTGTGTCCCCAGCCGGTAACTTCCTTTTCGCTTACAGACGAACGCAACCCCACTGTGCCCGGGTGCCACACTGCCCCTCAGCTGCTGATGGACAATTCATCCCATTTCCGTGCTGCTGTGAATACAGCCGCAGTAGGTGTGACATGCCACCCTCTGACAGAAGCAGGGCCCTTTGGGTATGTGCAGCTGGGCCAACTGGAGCTCTTTTCTATTTTTCTTTTGTTTTGAGAAAGTTCTATACTGAGTTCCTTAAAGACTGCACCTGAAATAAATTTATTTTTAGAAGGCATGAATCGGATCAAAAGCATAAAACTCTGTTTGTGGTCAGTGTTATCTGACAATCAAAAGGACAGAAAAAGCCAGAGGCCACTGGAAAGGTCACATGGAGGCCCATCCCAGCACACAGTAACTTAGACAGGCTCAGCAGCGTCACTGTGTTAAAGGGACCGAACCGAGCTTTCTTCACAATCTGTCAGGAACCTGTATTCTCAAACACTATCTGGCATTTGGGGGTAGAAAACATCTCAGGCTTTCAGCAGAGAGAAATAAGGCACTGTTCCAATTTCTCCCACGGTTCACGATGGCCACAGCTCTCAGCACAGCATATGCTGGAGAGTGAATAACCTGGAAGGCCAGCATTTAAGAGAACAGGAATCTTGACGTGAAGATGTGAAGGAGCCATTTCCTCTTCCGAGCTTCAGTTGTTCTGTTTATTCACTTGTTTGTATTGTGAATATGACTGAATGAAAGTGTGTGGCAAGCTGACAATGTTAGCCTTAGAACCACAAGGCTCAGAGCAAAGGGACCCCCCAGCTGATCTGAAGTCCCCACTGCCTAGCACAGGCCTCCTAGGCTTCTGCTGGGCCTCCTGCTCCACCAGGTTTGTTTGATGGCTTCTCAGCTTTCATCCTTCACCAAGGGCAATAAGACACCCACTACATCGTTATTTACAAACTAAAAAAATCTTTTTTTTATTTTTTTATTTTTTTATGAACTCAGCTTGACGAAGCTCTGAGATCTGGCTCTGAGTCACCTTCTCCACCAGCTGACCAGTTCCAGAAGCAAGAACATGAGACCATATTGTTCAAGGCCTCTCAGGAGGGAGAACAATGAACAGAGGGAGGCTTTGATGCCCTCTCCCTCCCAACCAGCACCCTCTGTCTCAACATAAGGGGTTGATGAGCCTAGTGAGGCCAAGAATCACCTTCCCTGTCCACACTTCCACCTGAAGTTTATCTCCCAGGCATAGCAATAAGCATGACATTGACAATGTGCGGTCACACGGGTTACTGGCTCTGTAACAGAGACCCAAACAAACACGGGGTATTGGCCGCACACACACCTTGGCGCTGGGGATTGGCTCCTGGGCTTTATATGATAAGCTCTCTGTACTCCTGGCGACTCCACCCGCCACAGGAGAGGCTGTGTGAACTACTCTGTCAGCAAGAGTCTGCACACCCCATGCATGCCACGCGGCACACACACCAAATAAAGCAGCCTCAAAAGTAAGAATAGATCATGACCCCACTTAAGGTTCTGTAACTTCCCATTTCTAGACAGGCCACACCTCTGAAGGTGCCTCATTCCCAACAAGGACGCAATGCACCAAGCAGGAAGGAGGAAGGCCAGTGGTTCTCGTTCAGGCCTCCCTGACTGCCCTGGCTAACAAGTCAGAAATGCTGCCGGTGTGACCCAGGTACCAGTATCCTCAAAAACGCTTCCCGTGTGTGTGCGTGGTGCATGTGGCGTGTGTGCACGCGTGCTTGGGTCCTGTGCCTACACACTCCTGTGTAAAGGCCCAAGGAAGAAGTCAGTGTGCTGCTCTGTCATTCCAGGCCTTTCCCCTTGACACACGGTCCCGGGTTAAACTTGGACTTTGCTGCTGGTCTATCCAGATAGTTCTTCCTGTGGTCACGTCCCAGGTCTGGTCTTACGGGCATGCACATCCATGCAGGCTTCTATGTGGGTCCCGGGGATTTGAACTCAGGGCCTCCTGAATGCTCAGCATGCTTGACTCACGACCATCTCCCCAGCCCCACGTGTTTTCAAAACTCCTCGTGACGTTCTGGTGTGCTAGCAGAGATGGGAAGCCGCGCCCTGGCAGAAGCCACACTCGGCTGCAGCACCGGAATCCTACCTTTGATTTGCTTCTGGCACTGAACGGACAGACAGGTCTCCGAGGCGCTGTCGGTGTCGGTGCCTGGATCATCGTCATCGATGTTAATCTCCTCCGTTATTACATCCGGTCCCAGTTTGGCCATGTATAACATGCTGATTCTTTTCAGTGTTTTGTTTTCTTTATTTAGCTGAAAATAAAAGAGTCATTTTATCAAGCAGTCAAATGAGCACCCTGGATATTTAAACAATAAGTGAATTAAGTGTATTTTTGTCTTAATATTCGTTAACATTCACAGTAGGATGTAAGAGGTAGATTCATTCAACAAATGAAGTGCTCACAAGCCTTAATATTAGTGTTATTTCTGTGAGGCCTCATCCTGAATTACAGCAGCAGCAAGTGGAAATGCTGGTTATAAACTTTAAGAAATACAAGAAATTCAGGGGCAGATGATGCAGCTTAATGGGTAAAAGCTTTTAAACCTGAGGACCCGAGCACCCTAGAACTCACCATGGAAAAAGAACCAATTCCTGGAAGTTGTCCTCTGAAACCTACTGTGTAGGCTATGGCCTGTGTGCACCCTCATTCATCTCTCTCTCTCTCTCCCTCTCTCTCTCTCTCACAAACACACACACACACACACACACACACACACACACACACACACACACAGAAGAAAGAAACACAAGGAATTTAGGTAAAATACCAGCATTTCTAGCCATTAATGTCTTAATAAGTCTCTTTATTTCAAGCAAATTTTCTATCTGATGCTGAGAACATGGAGAAGAAATCTGTTCTCCTAGTGTCCCTTCTTTTCTTTTCTCCTGGCTACTGTGGAAGTCAGTGCCATCACATGGCTAAGCAGCCAGAGTTGGTCATGTGACTTCCATTTAGCCAATCGGACCTCCTCTCTAGAAATGTGGGTGCTGGAAGAGAGTTTCTGCATGGGCAGCTGTGTGAGGGAGGACAATGCCCTTCCACCTCAGGACTGAGAGGAGGAGTCAGTCCTGCAGTAAAACCCCAAGCGAGAAACAGGCAGAAGCAACAGAGCCCAGACCTGTCTCTTCTGCTGATGGAAAAAACACGATTTACTGAAATGGAGTCTTGGCACATTGCATGGGGACGATTTTGAAGACCTACAATTCATGAGTCTTAGGGAAGGGATCTCACCATCGCCATCTGTCCTGTTACGGAGGTGAACCTGTGCTACTCATCGGAGACGTGGCCAAAGCAAAGGCAAAGCAACCTGCCTTCCCCCTGTGCCAGCTGAACTCATCACTGCAGGCGAAGCCACATTGTGGTCACACTGGGCTCAGCACAGTGAAGAAAGGAGTAACCCCAACAGCTCGGAGCATATGGCTTTGCGTGCCTGGCCATTTCAGCTCAACCTGCACATTTCAGCAAAACAGAGTTGCTGGACCTCTGAGAAAATGATGAGGCCAAACTGTATCCCAAGAATGTCCCATTTGAAGTTTTATGACAAAGATATAGAAAAAGGTGGTTTTACACAATCCTTGCTACTCAGAAAAACGCAGCCTGCTCGCCAATCTGAGAGCTGGATGTGCTTTCACATCTATAACACGCTCCGAGTGCTGTGCTGAAGCTACAGCCCCATTGACATATGTAGCATATAGGTCACACATAACGAGCCCGCATATGGAGCTTCATTAATTCCATTTAAAGATTTACTTTATTTTTAAATTTTGTGTGTATGTACATGTGTAAGTATGTACACAGAACACGTGTTCCCAAAGGTCGGAAGAGGATAGATCCACTTCACAAAGCCTCTAGGGGACAAACGGTGTGCACTAAGGGCCCGTTGCAAGAATCGGTTGGGAGACGGGGAGCAAAGCAAGTCCACCCCTCACCCAGAGCTAAGGCCTGCACCACACTGTGGCCACGGGACAGGGTTCCAGCACGATTACAGCTCAGAGGCGCAAACTCTCCTACCAAAGTCACATTAAACCAGGAAGGCTGGGGAGAGGTACCGATGGGCAGAGTGTTCACAGAATAACGGCCTGAGTGCACAACCTCGACGGCTATGCAAATACCAGGCGTAGTGGAACACGACTGTGACCCCAGTGCGGGGGTGGGGGGAGAGACAAGTGGATCTCAGGGACTTGGTGGCCAGCCCGGCTGAAGTACCGTGCTGCAGGGTCAGTGACAGAGGAAGATGCCCAAAGTCGAGGTGAGCCCGGGCCACACACACATTCCTGTACAGCACACACACACACACACACACACACACACCACACTTATATATACACATACTCTCAAGCACACACACAACACACATCCATACACATAAAATACAAAAGAGGAAATAAACTAATTTTAAAAAAGGTTATGTTTGGAGTGACAGCCACAGAGCAGATGGAGAGCCACCACACTCTCTCACACACACACACAAACCCCTTGTCACCTGAGGCGGCCAGAGAGCACAACTAGAAACAGAGTGTACCGGCCCTGAGCCCTTGCCTTCCACAAACTCTGAAGATCTGAGAGGTGGGTGTGTCTTCCTCCGAGTGGATGGAGCGGAGAGACACTCTTGGGCACTAGATTCCGTGAAGCCAGCTGCTCCAGGCAGTGACAGCAACCTGAGGGTGCCCATTCTAGCAGCGTCTTCAAAGCATCGACCCAAAATGCTGGCTTGCATCAGATGTGTAACAGGAAGAAGTTCAGAAGGAAACCATCTTCCTAGACTGGCTCTGATTCAGTATCTCATGAACTCGGTGTCCTTGTGCCAACAGTTAAGCAGATGCCCGCAGCAAGCACACGCCTAACACACACAAATGAAGTGCAAATTATCTCTTTATTGACAGGAGAAGTTCAGTCACCTCCAAAGAAATACTTTGGAGGCGGTTGTGTGAGAGGTAGGAGTGTATCACCAGGATTACTAACGAACTTTGGTTGGAAATTGCTGCAATCCATTTTCTGATAGACACTTTTTACCCAAAACACAGAAGATGGAGACAAAAACATTCTTTAATAATAATGTAATTCTGATGAGACAGAATATAGAAAATTACACACTTGGTAAAATCATCAGCTAGAGGCAATCAGCAGTGCGATGGAGGTCACCTTCTGAGTGCCCCCTCTGCTTGCACAAATAACTACCTGAAACGCAAGCTTCGAGCTGACTCGTTCATCACACCCACGGCCGGTATTGTGCACAACAGAAGCTCCATCCCAGCACTGGGACTAAAGCGGGATGGCGGGACAGTCTGCTCTAACAGTCCACCCCAGGGATTACTTCTCCGGGCCAAATGGGCACAAATGTTGAGAAAACAAACACACACACACACACACACACACACCATTTATAATCAGAAATGGGCTTTGCATACAGGCAGATGCCTCTAGAATCACAGTCCAGGGTTTGGGAATCTTACGCCTCCTTCTCAGAGCAGACAAGCAGACAGAGAATTAGACACAGAGCAGGAACACCCTGCAAAGCCCACGCACAGCCCCCCGGCTTGCAGAGGCTCACCTTTGTCGCCAAGGCCTCAGCACTCTCCCGGCACGTCTTCTCTATCTCAAGATGGTTCTGCATGAAATTCACTTCCTCGATAACCATGTGAGAAACTGCGAGTGAAGAGGAAAAAGCAGCTCAGCATTCACGGAGCAGCCAACGATTCCAGACACCCACGCACTGCCCCGTGACCAAGAATGCCTCAGTCCTTCCTACATCTAGACCTTTGCCATGAATAAACGCTCCTCAGAAGCTGCCTTTGATGAAATCCCAGCTAATGTATGGATGTAGAAAGAAAAAGGCACACACACATAAATTATAAACCTTCTCAACTATCGCATGTGTAACAGACTTTGTGTCTGTGTGTGTGCATGTGTGTGTGTACATGCATGAGAGTACATGCATCTGCATGCATGCCTGTATCCATGTGTGGAAGCCACAGGCCACCCTGGGATTCACTCCTCAGGAGCGTCCTGCCTTGTTCTCATGAAGCGTCTCCCACTGCTTCGTCTCAGAAGCTCTCTGTCCTGGAGGGTGGGCTCTCCCACTGGCCCCAGGCTCTCCCACTGGCCCCAGGCTCTCCCATCAGTTCTTGGGCTAGTGGAACAGGAATGCCCGCCTCTGCCTCCTGGTGCAGGGCGGGCTGGCACACCCCACCACCCTTGGCTCCTGTGTGAGCTGTGTCCTTACTCTGCAAGCACCTGAGCTAGCTCCCAGCCCTGAAGAGTCTGTTTTTATGTGGCTATTTCCATGGCAATAGACACATCTACTCGAGGAAACAAAAGAAGCTTCCATAAATAAAAAGTCACAAAATGGTAGCTTTTGATTAGCCTAGATGTGGCTAGTGGATCTAATATGAAAAATGAGCTCACAAGAAATGAAGGAAAAGTAAGCCCTGAGTTGATCCTGTGGCTGCTCAGTTAGCTAAGTGTCGTGATTTTCATCCTCAACAGTGACAAACAGCTCGTTACTTCACCAAGCCCAGGCCAGGAAACGGCGGCACCAAGACTTACGGGCCTCGTGGAGAAAACAGGGCGCACAAACTGTTACTGCAATAATATAAAGTATCACTGAGGGAGGGAAACAAATCAAAATTTACTTGCTATGTTACCAACACTTACAAAATTGTTTAATGTTTAGATTCTTTAAGTAGCTGCTTTATGTCAATTGAGATTTAAAGACATGCTAATTCAGACCTATAATGATATTTTAAATATTAAACAAGAAAAAAATGTGATGTTTTCCCACCCACATTTCTAGTCAGAAGAAAAAAAAAAAAAAAAAAAACAATCTCAGAATCTCAGCCTAAACTCTACATATGGAGACTGACTTCCATTTTTTTGGCATAAGGGGAAAAAAAATTAAAGGGACCCCAAATGCTAAACCAACAAAGTTAGCAAAAAGCACCAGGCTCGCAGAGCACAAAGACAGATTACTTTTGCTTCATTTAAGCTTAATTAACCTGCAATTATGATTAAACTCAGGGGAATTTTTTTTCTTTCTAAATTAAATACCAAAAAAAAAATGTATTACTTCCTAAGTCTGTCCAAAGTTCTTATTATGTTAATATTCAAATTCATAAAGCGGAACTAAATGGCCAGAAACATCTCTAACCTTGACATTTTTTCAGGGTGATAATCTGCTGCAAATGCGGGCCAACCAAAACCACTTAACTAATTAGCAGTTGCAGCCACCGAGAAAAACAGGAATCAACACTGTTATTACAAGTGGCACATTTGAGTGGCATCTAATTATGACTTGATGAGCGCGATCCTTGCATTATGCGCTCCTACCGCACCCCATCAGGGCCTAAAAGCTGCTGATGGCATTGACTTCGAGAAACTCCCACTCCAGGGTACAGAAGCCCCCGACAATCGCTTGGCAGGGGCCCCCCTCACTAAATGACACGTTAAGCGTAATTACTGGTAGACATTGTAAATAAACAGGATTGGAAGTGAAAATTGTACCAAGAGCATAAGACACAATCTGACACATTGGAAGTGGCAGCCTTAATTGAGAGTTTCTTTGACTGCTCAAGATCATTTCAACTGCATTTCTCAGAGGACAGTGATTACAACCGCGGAGACAGGCGACATAATGGTGTCAGCGCTGCTGACGGAGCAGTGAATTAAATTGTATCTGCCGTGGAGTGAAAGCTGTGATGAGAGGTGCAGGGGCCTTAGTGGTCTTATCATTATAACACAATGGTCGTGTTGTCATCAACCTTTCTGGCTCCAATTGAAAAGAAATGATTGTGTGCCGAAGCCCCCCCTCCCCGTCCTCTTCTATCTCCCGTTCTGAATAGAACCAATTTTCAGAGAGCTATGAAATCACGCAATAGGTCCTAAAATGCAGCTGCTTGGCATACAAACGGGTCCCCATTAAACTGGAATCACACACAATATGTGTTTATACCAGAGAAACAAATAGAAGCTGAACGCGGGCCAAGTTTATTCACACACACAAAGCCGGTGTAGCTCTTCATCAATGTAATTGCCTTTTATATTGTAGTTTAAATAATAGGCTCTATTATTTCCTTAAAATCCTAATATTCCTGGCATTTTATCACTATGTTTACAAGGTAGGTTCTTCAAAAATGTGAAGGAAAGAGAAAAGAAACCTATACAATTTTTACAACATCAAATATTACTTTGAATTTTTTAGCCTTAACTACTTGACATTTTCTGCCACAATCTGGCGTTTCTACTCTCATAACAAAAACATAAACACTCTGCATTTTTCATAGGAATTTGACTTTTTATTCAATAACATTCTTCCTCACGAAAGTAAGGGGAAAAAATTATTCCGCAGTCGAGAGGCTTAGGCCTAGCGAAAAATAATAAGGGAGAGGAGCCCTTCTTCACTGAATATTTTGTAAAAGCTGTCCTGTGGTTTAACTTGCTTCTTCGGGAGCGGAGCATGCTCCATCTGATGGGGGAGGGGCTCGGAAAGGGAATCAGCAGAAGATTTTAAGCTGTGTTGTGATTTTCACTTTCAGAAACTCACCGGAGGCCAATGATAGCATGGCGACCTGCCCCTCAACTCCCAGGCGCAGAAGACCACACCACAGGGGTCCTTCCTGTCACCCAAGGTCACAGGAGGGAGAACAAAGCTCATTCTCAATTATGAATTTCTTTCTCCTTCCAATTTAATTTAACTGTACTCATGTATGGGTGTGTGTGTGTATGTGTGTGTGTATAAGATTAAAAAGATTTTTAAAACCTTTATTTATTCATTTAATGATTGGGATTTTCTCCTATCTAGGACCCCTGGACACTTTGCCTATGAAATTCCATTTTTATATACAATGTTTAATTGAAAAAAAAACAAAACAAAAACAAAAACAAACAAACGGTCCAGCAGGGCACAGTGATACACACAGGCCTTTAACCCCAGCACTCAGGAGGCAGAGGCAGGCAGATCTCCGTGAGTTTGAGGCCAGCCTGGTCTACCTGGTGAGTTTCAGTCCAGCTAGGGCTACACAGAGAGAACCTGTCTCAGAAAATAAAAATGAATAAATAAAGAGGAGGAGGAAGAAAAGAAAAGAATATAGCTACACTTTAAGAAAAGGGTCCCTGAGATTGTAGCTACGTCTTTGGAATAAACAAAATCCATAGGAAAGGCCACGTTGTCAGTGACTGCCAGCAGGGGCCTCCCTGCGGCCTGGTCAGTCGGGGTGGCGTGGGAGAGGCCTTGACCTGACGCCTGCTGGCCTCGGCTGCAGGAGGGGCTCACTGTACCTATGGCCGACTTCGCCGTCACTCTGAGTGCCAGCATCCCTGGCCCCACCCAGCACCGGTCACGCCAGCAGAGCGGAACACGGCAAACCTAACACGAGTGAGGTGGGGGCAGCAAGACCAGGAGTTCAAGGTCATTCTCAGCTGCAAGAAGTTCAAAGACAGACTGAGATAAGTTAAACCCCACCTCAAAAATAAAAAGAAATGAAATTTTTAAAAAAGGGCTTTGAGAACTCACAGGTACAAGAGCACCCTCTGGTATTTCTATCAGTCTGGATGAATTAGCATTTGAGTGCCATCTGCAACTTCAAACTTCTGCTCTCCTGCACACAGACCTCAAGAACGTACACCGGGGTGGGGTTCTCCTAACAGGTTTTCCTCACCTGCAGACTGTGCACACATGAAGCCCTAACACTCGCTCTGTAGACCAGGCTGGCCTGGCTCCTGTGGCTGTCCCCAAGTGCTGGAATTAAACAGGCGCGGCCACCACACCCAACTGTAAAACATGGTTCTGTTCTGTGCGGCTGGTTCCCTTGCCCCTACAACAGCGCCGCCTACAAAGCAAGCCCTTTGAAAAGCTGAAGATAGGTCCAGGTCTGAGTTGTGAGCCTCTTCTAGAACGTTCGCTGCAGTGCAGAACTGCTCGTTGCTTGCTGAGCCCAGCCTGGGTGTTTCTTTGTCCTAGGATTGTGGTCCACGAATTCTCAGATTTGCTCCTACGATGTAGACACTGTCCAGGCATTTTATGAGCCCACTGCGGCCCTGAAATGTAGAGTAACTCATCCTGACAGCCCAGCCACATGCATCTAGGACAGCCCAGCTTTCCACGCCTTTTTTAAAAACTAACAGTTGAGGCTTGTTCTCGCTGCTTCAGCCCTTCCCCAGCCCTCCGCCCATGGCATCTTTGGAGCACAGGCCTGAGCACAGCACAAACTCTTTTCCTCAGCAGCAGACTGTTTAGAAAGATCTCTCTGCTGCCCTTAGCAGTTGACCATGGTGCTTCATTGGCTTTGTTTGGAAATGGGGTCTCAAATGCACTTCACAGCCGAACATGAACGTCTGACGAAGCTGCCTCCACCTTCTGGATGCTGAGACTACACACCTGCACACTGCACCCACTTCCAGCCAGGGGGTCCAAAGAGCCCCATTCCTAGCTCCCAGGAAGGCACAAAAGAGCCAAGGGGGACAGCAAGCACTGTGGGAACACGGTACCCTTAACATAAGGCAGGGTCTACCACAGAGCCTCAGACAGGACGGGACCTTGTGGGCGATGGCTTCCCTCTGGGAGGTGTTCTTTGTGTGGGGACAATCAGGGACAGACTGAGGGAGAGCTGGCAGAGGGCCAACACTGGCACAGAATGGAGCCAAGGCCAGGAAAGGAAGGCCAAGCTGGGCTGAGCGGGACCCGGGCAGAGGCCTCCCCTGGGCCTCGCTCTTCCTGAACTTTGAGAGGTTGGCCTAAGCATGACGGCGACTTCAGGGCAGCCAGGAGTTCCGCAGGGCATTCGAGTGCCCGTTCCCGGGTGGCTACTGTCTTGGCTCACGACATGGACTGTGCCCGCCAACCCTCGGTTCTGAGGCAAGATGGCCACAGCAGCAGGTGCCTCACCGCACCCCAGCTACGGAGAAAGCCGGAGCAGGTGCCCTCCCTTCGACCTGGACAGCAGAGGACAGCAGAGCTACTGCCGACGAAGCTGGCTCAGCGCTTGGGCGCTCGCCTGTAGAGCTCACACTGATGAAGTCAGCCACATTGTCTTCCACATCTAAATTCCACCCACGGTTCAAAGCCACGGACTATCCATCTCAAACACAGTCCTTAGAGAAATGAACTTTCCCTTTGCTTTGTTTTGTTTGGGGTCTTGACATTGGATGGTTTGCACTTAGCCACCCACACGTGACCTTGAACCTAGCTGAGTGCTGGTATCACAGGTGTACACCACGCCTAGTCTGACGTGGCACGAGGGCTCCAAATCCACATCTTTTTGCATCCTGGGCGAGCACTCTGCTGCCTGAGACTCTTCCCTCCCCGTGAGAGATGAAACCGCCCTTCCACAGTCTTTTTCGGACTGAATAGAGAGCCATCGGGGCAGCAGGGTGGCGCGGTGGGCAGGGGAGCCTGCTACCAATCCTGCCGATTTTGATCCCTAAACTGTCACACTTGACAGAAGTGATCCCACAGCTTGCCCTCTGACCTGCACATGTGTACACACTCACAACTAATGTACAAAAATACTCTCTAAAGAAGTCTTCTGACTTCCTGCATCTGGACTTTAACCGGGCTCCATAAAAGTAAAAATTAAACACTTCTAACAATAGATACTGTGTTTGCATTTCAGTGAGCTCTTTCAGGCCTCATCTGAGTTGCTCGGGGAAGGATCAGCATATTCAGAGGAAAAGCCACTTTTGAAGGGGAGGGGCATGGGAGATGAAAGCAACGTGGCAAAGTTGTTTCCATGCTTGCTGAACACAGGAGGCGGGTCCCTACCTACGAGCTGGGCCAGAACCTGCTGTGGAAAACGGAAGCATGAGGAACCCGAGCCGCCCGGGCACAGAGCGCCACTCTGCCACCAATAATTGCGTGCCATGACTGGCAGCAACAAGGAGGCCTGCTCATCCCAAGGTGCTCACGGGACGTTAGCAGGCTGTGCTGGAGAATGAGAAGGTGCAGAGCAACCGCCGTCCACCCACTCACAAGCCGGTGGCATTTCCGGCTCGTCTCCGACCTCCTCAGACAGCAAGACCACCAGAGTTATCCTGTGGTGTTCTTGGCTGTGGCCAGAGGGTGATGGATTTTAACAGGTAGGCTTTTACAGGTATTTCATTTTTCAGAATGGATTTTAACAGGTAGGCTTTACAGGTGTTTCATTTTTCAGAATGCTCTGCCGTGCAGGACTGTGGGATATTCCAGCTCTGCAGAATGATCTAGAGGGGTCCAGCTTGTAAGGGTTACTTTCCTACAGCGTCTGGTTCTCTAGACCAGGACATAGTCCCGTGTGACGCTCTTGGATCTGATCATCTATGCTCTGATTTTGAGGATAAATAACAGATTTATGTCACATGAAAAATAACCTAGTAAAAAATGTCAAAATTATTATTGCTTTTCTGAGGATGTAACGTAGTGAGAGCGATTTCAAATGCTCAGTTCCAGAAAGCAGCAGCTGCTCTGCTCTCTCCTCAGCCATGGCACTGAGGCCTGAGTGATGTGTCAGAAGCTTACGTCGTGAATAGATGTGGCTTGGTAAGGGGACATACAGTCCCTTGTTAATCCACACCACCATGGAGGCCACAGACACACTCATTGCCCCTACAGCCTCTTTCCACAGACTGACTGACCAGTGCGGGCTGAAGTGCGAGGACTCAGCCCAGGGCCTCCTCATATGTGCCAGCAGGGGCTGCACCACCATTCTGTCCACACAACCCCTGGAATCAGATCTCTCCTGTTAGAAGAACAAGCGTAAATATGCAATGAAGTTTCAGTACCTATATGCCCAAATCTGCACAAAATTCTGGCATAATTCCTTTTTCTCGAACTAATCTAGGAAACTAATCAGATTTTACAAAGATGTGAGTACCTGCCGGAGATTACTGATACTTTAAAAAACAGAAACAATGGAAGAACAGAGTTATAGCACCCTATTAGTATATAGATGACACATGATCATATACAGTCAATAGGAATGTGTGCAAGAGCACTAGACAAAAACGTGCAGCCTCCAATAACAAGCCACAGCGCTAGACAAAAACGTGCAGCCTCCAGTAACAAGCCACAGCGCTAGACAAAAACGTGCAGCCTCCAGTAACAAGCCACAGC